TTTTTTTTTTAATTAACATGCCTCAACAGAGCTAGTCTCGTACAACTCTTGTTTGAATATTACTGCTTTGACTTCTTTACTTAATGGGACAAACCTTTTTGTGTAGTTGTACCATATTTGTGTCTATTACCATTATTTTGGTGACATCTTTGACACAACTTTATTTATTTATTTTTATGCTCAAAATCCTTTTTATCACTACCTTACTTAATTTAACACTGGATTTTATTTTTTAAATTATTATTATTATTATTATTTGGTGATATTGGTTGGGTGATTTTAATGATATACTATTTTGAATGGTTGTTTCTATTAAGATTTTTTTTAAGAGGTTAATGTTAGTGGTAATTTGTTACAAGAATTTGATTAGGTGATAAAATTTTAAATATTATATACTATTGAAATAGTACATATATTAATTGTTTTCTTTCCTAGTTGATGAACCCAATTGATCAAGTTACATGATTCCACCTTAAATTTGATAACAACAATTAGCAGGTCATTCCAATTTTGTTTTGTGTAACCTATTGCAAAATATTCATCTTTTTATTGTTTATTGTATAGTTTTTTATTTTATTTTAGAACTTGTGGTATTATTTTTTTATGGCAGATTTGTTTTAGATCGTTTGTACCCTCCTTTTTTTATTTATTTGATTATAATTGTTGCTTTATAAATTTGACATTCATGACAACAAAACCACATTGTTCCCTAACGACTATCCATAAAATTTTAATTTGTAATTACTCTTTTTTTATATATATATCTTGGCAATTTTTCACATATGTCAACTCAAGTCAATCTAATAAAAAGGTTTGATTTGTGTATGTATATGTATATGTGTGTGTGTGCGTGTGTATATATATATATATATTATCTTATTCTTAGTCATAACTTGTTTCTTAATTTGTTTTTGGAACAAGTCATGATTTCTTGACAATAATTCGTGTCTTGTAATTTGTTGGGATAATAACCTCTTTTTTTAAAAAAAATTAGTCTTAAATATCTTTATCCAAAAATTTGTGTCATGTAACATTTGACCTAAGAATTTTATGTTACTAACTTGATTTTAGGTGATCCTTTTTTCTTTCTTTTTTTTTTTAAAAAATAATAATAATAAATGAATGAATAAATTTTATTCCACGAGATTTTTTCCTTTGGGTTAACTTTATTCAAAGAGTATTAATTTTAATTTTAATTAGCTTTTTCTTATGAATTTTAGATGACATCCGCTCTAACAGTTTATAATTTTTGTGTTAATTATAAGTTGCTTCTGTTACAAGAGTTTAATTTTATTTTTTATTATTATTAATTTTCTTTTGACCACCTTAAGTGATTTTTGTGTTGACTTAGGTGAGTTTTGTGACAATTTTAGGTGACTTTCCATGGCATCCCTAAGTGACTTCTGTAACAATCCTAGGTGACTTATGTAACAACCCAATGTGACTTCCATAACAGCACTAGGTGACTTCTGTAATAGCCTTAGGTAGGGATGTCAATAGACCGAAGCAGGAGCGGGGAGTGTAGTCTTTATCTCCGTACCCGTTTAAAAAAACTCCGTTCATCCCCGGTCCATTTCCGTTAACGGGTATAATTTTCATCCCCATCCCCGTCCGCGGGTAAATTTCTAATCCCCACTCCCCTCGTACAAGCCCAATCCCAAGCCCAAGTCAAGTAGTATAATCCAAAATTCTAAATAAATCTAATATTTTAAATAATCCAACAACATTCTAAATAATCTAACATAATGTAATACAATATAATGTAGATTACAAAATGTAAAAGCCAAAATAATACAGTATTCTATTTAAAGTGTCATTGGATCACAAAAAGAGAAACAAAATTATTAGAGAGAAAGGAAGAAAGGGAAAATAAAATTGAACTAAGAAAACAATAGCATTACACTTGAAGTTTTCTAGAAGAACTTTTGTTATTACAATTCATATTATAGCCATAAAGTGTTAAAAGATGAAAACTTAAAAATTCGCTAATTCAATAATTCTCCCCATTTTTTAGTTCACTCTAGTAGAGAAACTCATCAACCTTCATTCACAATATTTCTACTAACGATGAAATACAAAACTATCTTACTATCTCTTATCTTTTTTTAGAGCATGATCAATCTAAACTCCTAACAATTTAAATCAGTGAGCATAAATAAAAAAAAGAACAATCAGGAAAAAAAATTGATAAGATTACCACATAGTAATGACACTTATTAGTTTTATTACCATATTTTTAGATTGGTAGTTACAGTAAATATGTGTAGTTAGGGCTTGAGAGTATTTTAATATATATATATATATATATATATATATAACGGGTAGCGAGGGCGGAGAGGGGGTAAGGATAAGTTCATCTCCGCCTTCATCCCCATACGGGTTTATACGGGTATCCCCGTATACGTTTACTGTTCAATACGTATAATTCATCCCCGGTCCAAACGAGTCGGGTTTGGACGAATACTTGTATTCTCTCAGTCCACTGCCATCCCTAGCCTTAGGTGAATTCTGTAAAGGTGACTTCTGTAACACCACTAGGTGACTTCTGTAACAGCCTTAGGTAACTTTTGTAGCAGTCCAAAATAACTTCTATAACAGCCCAAGGTGACTTATCTATTCTTGTATTGCCACTATTATTATTATTATTATTATTTTATTCTCACTTTATTTATAGCATCAAGGTTTATATATATATATATATATATATATATATATATT